GTTTCAAACTTGCAGTGCTCCTCCTGCTTCAGCCTTCTAAGTGCTGGAATTACAGGAATGTGCCACCATGCCAGTAGAATATCACTTTTCATCCTTTCATTTGCTCTTTAGTATTTAGTGTTGAAGTCAGTTTCCTGTAGGTGGCATACTGTGGATTTTTTTAAAATGCAAATCTGTCTCTTTTAATTGAATAATGTAGTTCATCTACATGTTAGGTCATTACTGAAAGGTAAGAACTTATTTCTTATTATTCTGTTGATTATTTTCTAGATGTTTTGAGTATTCTTTTTTCTTCCACTTAAATCTTTGTGGGACGATGGTTTCCTGTACTGATAATTCATTCTTTTCTGTTTCTCTACTCTTCTACTGAATGTTAACGCTTTCACCTATCTTCATGATGGTATTCACCTTCTTTTCACTTCTGGGTCTCTTCAGCATCCACCCAAAGACTGGTCTTGCAGTCAGTTTTTGCTTGTGTTAGATGACCTTTATTTTTCTCTCTATTTCTGAAAACTTCTTTCTTTGTTGGCAGTTATTTCCTTTCACAACATGGAGGATGCCCTTCCTTTCCCTGCTGGTTTATAAGCTTTGTGCTAACAAGTCTGCTACTTGTCTAATGGGGATACCTTTAGCTGTGACTTGGCACTTTTCTCTTGAAAATTTTAAAATTCATTGTCTTCTCAAGGCTGGCAAGATAGCTCAGCAGAGTAAGCGCCTGCTTAGGCAAGTGCAGGGACTAGAGTTTGATCCCTGGCACCACATGCCACGCCGGCCCCACCCCCAGGCACGCTGAGCCAGCTACTGAGGCAGGGTGTGGTGGTGCACATCTGTAATCCCAGTGCTGGGTAGGCTGAAAACAGGAGGATCACTGCAAGTCTGCACTGCGTAGTGAGACCCTCTACCAAAAACATTTTTAAAAAAGATTTTTCATTGTCTTCTTTTTACACTCTTTAATATGTCATGGTAAAGATCTTTTATGGTTATGTTTATTTGAAGTTCTATAAAATTCCTGCACATAGATGTCCATATCTTTCCCAATAGTGAGATGTTTTCTGATACTATTTTTCTAAATAGTTTCTCTGTGTCCTATTTTACTTCTTGGCTTTGATATTCCAGGAACATGGATATTTGTTCAGTAGTATCCCACAGGTCGTAAATGTTCTTTTTATTCATTCTTGTATTTTTCTTTCCCCCCTTTTCTGACATGAATATTTCAAAAGACCTGTATTCAAGTTCAGACATTCATAATTTCACTTGATCTGATCTGTCGTTGAGGCGTTCAATTTTTTTTTTTTTTTTCACTACTGGGAATTGAACTCAGGACACTGTGCTTGCCAGGCAAGCACTTATTCTACTGAGCTATCTCCCTGGCCCCCTCAGTTGTATTTTTTGACTCATTAAATTCTTTATTTCCGAGATTTCCTGTTTAATTCTTTTAAAAATGTCTCTTTTGGGCTGGAATACAGCTCAGTGGCATCATTCCTGCCTGGCAGATGTGAAGTCCTGAGTTCAATTCCTGGTACCAAAAAGCCATAATTTCTCTCTTTGCAGTTCATATTTGCCTAATATTTTCATTCTGTACTTAAGGTCTATGATACATATCTTTATGTACTTAAGTTTCCCTTTCCTCATTAAGCAGTCTTATCATTTAGTTTATCTAATTTTTTTGTTTAGACAAAGAAACTATTTCAGAAAACCAAGATTCAATTCTAAAGCAGACTATTTCTGTAAAAGAATCAATGCCTGAAACAGTTATGCCAGTGCCTGCCAAAAAGGTACATACTGCTTTACGTAAGGAGAGAGATGAGGATCAGTTCCATAGGAACCAGGAAAAGCAGGAAATAAATTTGCCACAAGAAGCTTTCATACATACTACAGTCTACAGTGAGGAAGGAGACTCTGAATATCATGACAAGAAAAGCTTTATGTCAACTGACTCTGTTTGGGAAATACAGCAGGAAACTCCTGCAGGAACAAGGTCTCCAAACGGCCATCAGTTTAAAACTAACTTCAAGTTTACTTCAGATTCTGTGGACAAGCCATGGTCAGAATATAATGAATGTGGAAACACCTTGAGCATTAATACACATATTATGCCGCCCAACAAAAGGCATATTACAGTTAATTCCTATGAGTGTTATCAATGTGGGAGAACCTTTAGTCGAAGTTCATCCCTCATTAGACATCAAATCATTCATACTGGAGAGAAGCCCTATGGATGTGGTGAATGTGGAAGATTCTTTAACCGACACACAAATCTTACAAAGCATCAAAGAATTCATAGTCGAGCAAAGGCCTCTGAAGGTAATCAGTGTGCAGTGACCTTCTGTAAGAGTGAGAATAGCAGTAAACATCCAAGACTCCATTCTGGATGTAATCTCTATGAATGTGTGGACTGTGGGAAGTCATTCAACCGTAGTTCCTCCCTTCTCCGACATCAAATGATTCATACAGGAGAGAGACCATTCAAATGTAAGGACTGTAAGAGAACTTTCAACCGACACTCAAACCTTACTAAACATCAAAAACTTCATACTCAAGTGAATACTGAAAAGGAAGCAACACTGGATTTACCTTCAGTAGATGCAGTACTCAATCAACATCATGGAAAATAGAATCCCATGAATATAATAAATTCAAGAAAGCCTTTGTCAAAATTATTCCTTAACTGATGTGACTATACTAAAGGGAAACCTATTTGAGAGAGCTTTTCTAGACTCTCAAAAGAAGCTACAATGCTTTAGACTTTAACATATTATCATCATACAGAGCTTTGCCTATCATTTTTACATTACCTTTATCTTTCTCTGGTTCTTACACTTGATTTATTGTAACAGATATTAGAGAGCAGCCAAGAAATATGCTTGGAGTTAATACTTAATGAACTGTTGGTCCTTATGAGAAGGTCAAAATAAAACAGAAGCTAATGACAAGCATAGTACAGGAGAACACTTTTGAGGACTAAAATTTCTGAATGACAGAAACTTCAGTGACTGCCAGTTATTTTCATTTTTTCCATCCCAACAATACCTTTACCAGAATTGGGAAGCTATCAACTGCAGTGGGAAATTGAGTTTTTGTTCATTTTTAGGTATTCTTGAAATCTGCATTTTTTAAATGTACTTTTTGAGATCCAGGCTGGAGAGACATCGCTTGAGGTGAGGTCTGTATTTATCCCAGATTGTATGAGGTCAATAAAATATCCTACTGTTCTGTGTACCAAAACTGTGTTATAAGCTATTTCAAATCCCAAGTGGTTCTTTGACCCAAGTGATGTGTCTTAATCTACCTCCCAAATAAATTCATCCTGGAAAAATTCTCAAAGAATGATGATGGTGGCTTCCTATTAGAGTTCAGACTTCACTCAAAAGCA